CCATATTCCTCAAGGAACCAGAGTTGGTTGCAGTAGTAGATTCTGAACATTGAAGCAATGTGACTCTTTTAAAGTTGATGGTGTTATAATCATTTGCATTCTGCACTATTGGGCATAAAGTTTTTTTAAGCAGTTAAACATAAGATTTGCTAAGCTTCTCAAAGCCTTAATTTCTTGCCTTGGTTAAAGGGCAATGGGAGGAATGGAGGGAATGAATCATTGATAGAGATCAAGGCTAGCCTCCTAGGAGCCCTAGGATTTGATCTGAAAGTGCTTTGCCATGCACTTGTTCTTGCTTGGGAAGATTGGTGATGGGTGTTGTTAGCTGTAGATACTTTATCCTACTATTACAGACATCTTACATAGATGTGCCAAATAAATTTATGGGATGCCAAATGGATGTGTGTGATACATAGTTTTAACCATTTAGTGCTTGAAGATTATTTTTTTTCTTTCAGGGTTAGATAGTTGCCACCAGGATAACTTTTTACTGTGTGAAAAGAGGGCCTCTTGGTGCCAGTAGTGCTCTGAGAGACTGCATGGGATTCACATTTTATATATTTATATATCTTTAGTATTTACAGACTCCCTCCTGTTTGATAGTTGGGTTTTTTTTTAAGATTATTTTTTATGTATACAAAGGAGTTTTGCCTTTATATGTCTGTGAGGATGCCAGATCCCCTGGAACTGGAGTTACAGGCACTCATGAGCTTCGTGTGGGTACTGGGTAGTATAGCTGGGTCCTTCAGAGAAAGGACCAGTGCTCTTAATGCTGAGTCGTCTCTTTAGTTCCTGTTGTCTAATTCTTAAATAACAAATCTTGAGTATATGTTTGTGGTTTTCAAATGTGATTTTGTTCGTTCTAATAAGTGAAATACAGTATTAGCTAGTGTCCTTGTCATTTTTCCTTCAGGGAACCTTGTGAGTGTGAGAATGAGTGCAGTCTTCAGTTTGAACAGTTAACTGGGTTTGACACAAAAAGGGGAAAGGTAGACACAGTTGAGTTTGAAAATAAAAAAAGTCACTTTTATGTGTGTGTGAGTATTTTGTATACATGTGGGAGTGTGCATTGTGTGCATGCAGTGCCCATGGACACAAGAAGAGAGCAGTAGATCTCCTGGAATTGGAGTTACTGATAGTTGTGAGCTGCCATGTGGGTGCTGGGAACCGAACTTGGTCCTCTGCAAGAGCAGCAGTGCACTTAACAGCTGAGCCATCTCTAGCCCAGTGAAAGCTGAGGTCTATATTCTGTGAACTAAGGATTCTTTGAACAGTCTCAATTAACTAGAGTAGGGAAGTGGGTATTCTGTTTAATTAACTTGTTTTGATGAAAGTTTTTCCTCCAACTACTGTCATAGAGTCTACTAAACATTGAAAATAACCAAATCTTAAATCTTGGTTCTCAAGACCTTACAAAGGAAATAGAGTCGGTAGAGTTGTTAAAGTTGTTGGTTGGTTTTTATAAACACCCAACTTGGGCTGATTTTGCTTAATTTCTTTTTCTTCTTAAACCAGAGTCAGAAAAAATTCTGAATAGCATTTTAACTTGACTGTGTTGAGCGGGTTTTGTTTTAAAGGTAATTGATCAATAAGCTTTGTTACTAAAAGTGTAAGTATATACAGTATAGCGCAAAAGAAATTGTTAATTTCCTTGTAGCAAATCTCTTAAATATCTGTTAAAAAGGTATTCGGTCTTTAGAAAACAAAAATGTTCAGAATTATACTGGCTGATTTAAGTGTTATCTTTTTGATGTGTGTTTGTTTTTTGCTGTGTTGTAGCTGAAACCCTAACATTTTGAGCTCATTTAATTGGGTGTATATGGATGTGTTCGTACCCACCTAAAAATAGGGATTTTTTAAGAGTTGATTGTCACACTCAATACAAATAAAATATTTAAGTTTTAGAAGTGTGGCTTATGGTAATTCTTAACACTAAAGAAAAATTGAAAGTTTAATTTTTTAATACTAAAAGCTCATTTGTTGTTTTTCCCATGGTGTCTTTGACTTTTACAATAAGCTACTTGTTCAAGTCAAAATATGAATGTCGGACTGGAGAGATGGCTCAGCTGTTAAAGGCTAGGCTCACAACCAAAATATGAGTATCATAAGCCCTCTTATACTTTTTGGAAGGTAAAATACTTCTCATTAAGAGTTGCATTGGCTTTGCCCCTAAGACGTGAAGGGAGAAGATTGCTCTCTAATGTGGTAATTGTAGTGAGGCTGAAAGAACTTCCCGTTTTTGTTGCTATTCCATGAACTTGGAAAGCTTTTCCCTGGGTTTTGTAAGGACTTGTGATGTTGCCCCTGCAGATAATGTCATATCCCTTGTTAAAGTTTGTATCACTTCATGTTGTCAATAAGGAAATGTGGTTTATGAAACTAGTATAAGCTAATGCTAGCTAACCAAATGGATACTTCAGGAGGATTATTTATTGACTTGGTGGTGGAAAATCCATCTAAGTAAGCCATTCATGTCTTGCCCAGGCTTTGTGGCCTTGGGCTTTCGTTTGCTTATCCTGTTCAGACAGAGGGTTGGTTTTGTTACTTTGTTTTTGAATGTCTTAATGCTCCTCCCGTCTACCCTTTCCTTTACGTGACCTACCTGCCTTTCTGTCTTCCAGTTTAGTGAGACTGTTCTGTCCTGCTGTAAGAAAAGAGTCTAACATATTAGCCTGCTTCCTAAAATTAGGGGTGGCTGCATCAACTTGACTGTGAAGAGGGTGTGAGGGGGTAGTCTTGGGGTAGTGAGCCACAGTCAGTGAAAAGTGCAAAGTGAGTACTGTACCATTCAGGTTCCTTCATCTCCCTCCTTTCCCTTCCCCCACAGTCAGTAGAACAATCCTGGAACTTCAGAAGAGAATCAACAATGTTCCAGAAATGTGTTTGGGGGATAAGAGGAGTGCAGAAGACTTTGGATATAGCTTTTGATGGAAGACTGAATCCCTACACATCTTCATACTTAGGCTAGGGTATTAGATTTGTGGCTTCTCGTGTGACTTGGGTGGTAGCCTTTGGTAAGGATAGGGAACCGTTACTTGACATTCAAGTAAAAAGAGGACTGGAGAGATGGCTCAGTGGTTATGGGTATGTCCTATAGAGAACCAGCACCCTTATCATGTGGATCAAGACCACCTGTAACTCCAGCTTCAGCGGATCCAACAACACATTCTTCTGGCCTCCACAGGCACATGCCCTTACCCCCACACAGACACACATGAATACACAATAAGTCCAGAAAGGAGTAAAATGCTGATGTTTTGTCAGGTTGGCCTTCTAGTGTTTTAAAAACCATTCTTTCAGCACTATCTTTGTTTTTTAAGTAATCAAGGCACCATTATGTACAGTAAATAAGTATTCCAGACCTGTGCTTGGAACACTGGGAATATTTATTTACTGGATTTTTGTTGTATTTTTTTGTGTCTGAGTGTTTTGCCTGTAAGTGTGTGAACCATGTGCGTGCCTAATACCTGTGGAAGTTAGGAGGATGTTGGATCCCCTGAAACTGGAGTCACGGGTGGTTGTGACCTGTGGGGTGGTAGAATTGCAGCCTGCATCCTGAGCAAACCAGCAGTGCTCGCTAACTGCTGAGCCATCTTTCCAGCCAGTGCTTGGGATGCTTTGGGTGTTTCTGTGAGCTGTTCATTGCTGTCTACTTACACCTGTGGTCCTACGTGGGTTCTGATTAAGCCTGTCACAGCCCAGTGAGAGTATGGGTGAGTTGTGCCAGTTGTGGTAGAGTGTCTGGAGTTATGTGTCCAGGGTCTGAAAAGAGAACTTGCTCAGGTCCATTGCTTCTCCCAGAGCTTTGAGTTGTCTGGTTCCTGTTCTCTGCTGAGAATCTGCAGCTTTGGTCCTCTCTTTCCCAACCTCACTGAGCTTCCTGTTGGAGTCTATATGTAATGTTCTCTCTGGATGGAGCTAGTGACTAGAGAGCTTTATGATTGGTCTCTTTTGAAACAATATACCAGGAAGAACTTATATGTGGTGCTCTGGAAGCTCGTATTTAACTTTTAAATTGCAGTTGTGAATTCTGAGTAGAGTTCTTACTCCTGTGAAAGGTGAGCTGTGTTCTGTTGCAAGAAGTACCCCAAATCATAAAAAGCAGCAGGCACAAAAGCCAAATGAAATGTCTCTGGTTGAGCCGGCAGGTGATGAATCACTAGCTTTGCAGAATCCCTGTGTGGTGGTACTCTCAGCACCCAGGAAGTAAGGGCAGGAATTGGAAGTTCATTATCTTCCTCAGCTACTTGGGAAGCTAAAGGCCAGCCTGAGGTACACAAAATCCTGTCTCAAAAACTTGCCTTTTGTTAAACCTTGACCGTGAGGGGTGGTTTAGAAAAACATGGCTTAGATAAACTATTCTGTTATTTAAGGGTAGTGCAGAAAATAGTTATTCCTGAGTTTCCTGAGTGGTTTGATAAGTTAAGAGTATTAAAACAACTTAGTCACACAGCATTGAGACAGATACTACAGCGATGCTTTCTTTGCCTTCATGATTATGAAGGATCGTTTGCTGTCAGTAGGCCGACTGAGTGTTCAAATTGTTGTTTGTTTGTTTGTTTGTTATTCACTATACTGTACTGACTAGGAAGTGCTCTAGACCTCTCTAGACCTGTGGAGCTCTTCACAAGCAGCTGACCACTCTTGGTGTGCCTGCCTTGTACAGTCAGAGTTACAGTGAGATGGATTGGGGTGCCTTCCCTATCATACACTAAGTCTAGAGACATCTCTTACATGTGTCCTCATCCCTATTTTTAAAGATGGTATCACTGAGACATCTTTTTGAATAAAATAGTAGCTCTTAAATTGATGAGGGACTAAGGGGAGACATATGGTTTCTCATCTCTCACCTTGTTCCTTAAAGATGTGGATGGAAATATGAGTCTTTTGTTGTTTTTGTGTTGTTCTGTTTTTTGAAACAGGATTTCTCTGTGTAACAGCTGTAGGTGTCCTGAAACTCGATCTGTAGACCAAGCTGGCCTCAAACTCACAGCTATCTTGTCTGCCTCCGAGTCCTGAGTGCTGGGATTAAAGGCGTGTGCCACCACTGCCCAGCAAGACTATGAATCTTAAAGTTACTCATTTAGGTGTGAGATGTGTGCAAAAGTCCCGTTAGATAAATATATAAGTACCACTGAATGTAAAGACTAGAATGTGCTAATTTGAATGGTTCAGCTAAGTATACCATTATTGCCAAAAAATACTAGTGTATCTGTGAGTACAAAGTATCTGATCTAGCTTTAGGAAATAATGAGAGCTACTTTGGCATTGACCTGACTTAATCCTGACGTTTGAACAGTAGGATCATGTATGTTTTTCTTTTGATAGAGTCTCGCTGTGTAGCCCTAGCTGGCCTCAAACTCACAGAGATCCAGTTGCTTCTTTCTCCCAACTGCTGAACTAAAGGTGTACACCACCACACCTGGGCAAAGATTTATATGTGTGTATATATGTCTATGTAAGTATATGCTACGTGTCTGGATGCCTATTGAGTCTAGAAGAGCACATCTGATCCCATTACTTGGGAACCAAACCTGAGTCCTGATAGAGCTATCTCTCTCTCCAGCCCATCATATCACATTACTTAGCTTCCAGAGGCTGAGTAACATTTTTTAGCATCACAGAGCTAGTATATGGCAGAGCAAGGGATTCAGCACAGCTGTTTTACTCCTGGGTAGATTATCAGTCACTCACTGAATTTTACCATCTTTTCTAGCAAATAGCAGCTTTACTGACATCCCTACCTCTCGAGAAGTTTGACATTGAAGTCTATATATCAAACCAGGTATGTTTTGGTCTGTGAACACAGCTGTCTTACTGAAAGACAAAGATTTTGATTCAAGACAAGTATGCCTTTAGTCTGAGCAGAGTTGGGGGCCAGTCTAGCCTACAAAGCAAGCTCTAAGCCAACCAGCTACATAGTGATCACGACTGTCTCTAGAAAAAAAAGTTTTGTCTTTGATTTTTGGCTGTAAGTTGCATACTTGAAACGGTTCTGTTCCCTTTGCTGCACCTTCAATATCTTACCTCACAACTTAAGGTACTTGTGGCTTCACAGACCTTTCAGAGAAGAGTCAGTGAGTTTAGAATGGTCTTAATAGTACCTTGAGTGGTTCTCAAATTAGCTAATTGTTATCAAACAGACAACCAGCCTAAAACTCGACTAACGTGCCTTTAAAATCATTTCTCGGGTCTCAGGAATATAACTTAGTGTGGTAGTCCTTGCCTGGCTTGTCTGGTTTAAACCCATGTTAGTGTGTTGGTATGTGTGTTTTATCTTTCTATACCTATAAGTAGACAGGACACCAGACTGTAGCTTCACATTCAAGGCCCCTATTTTATAGTCAACCCACTTTTCCATCTTTACCTTTACACGGTGGCTATTCAAATTCAGTGCAGACTTGGCTTCCCTGCATCTGGCAACATGGTCATGCTCACTAGCTTAGAGCTAGGCCCCATCAGCAGCTACTACTTCCAAGATGTTTCTGACATGGCCCCCCTTTTGCTGTTGGTGTTTGTGGGAATCCTGTCTGTGAGCCTTTTAGTAGGTAAAGCCTTGTTCATTCGATCTGTTTCTTGAACTACTGCTTTATAGCAGCCACTGATATAGATGGTGCAGATGCCAAAAATGTCCTTTTTAATGGGTGTTGTTTGTCTTGAATTAAGGAAATGGTGTCTTATATCTTAAGACAGTGAGCGGTTCTCAACCTGTGGGTTTCAACACACCCCCACCCCTGTGGAAGTCATATATCAGGTGTTTACATTCATGACAGTAGCAAATTTATAGTTAGAAAGTAGCAATGAAAATCTGCGTATTTGGGATCACTCATGGTGATCATTTAAAGTGAAAGCTTCTAAAACAGTGTCGTGATTTCGATAGTTGGTGGTGTGAGGAGCAGGCTGCTGATGTTAGGCAGTTTGTCACCAGGTAGCTTCTTGGTGTCCTAGTGTGCCATTCGGCAGCTGTCAGTTTTTCTTCCCGTGACAGTGGCCTCTTTTATTCTCCCTAGATGCCCCTTCTTCTGAAGTTAAACTCTTGAAACTACTAGAAAGAAATGAAAAGGGAAATTTAAATTGAAACACATGTGATTTTTCTGAAGGGTCGTCTGTGCAAATTAACATGCTTACTTTTGCGAAACAAAAGCACGATTGAACTTGTAATCTGTCATTTGAGGCAGAGTGCTTTAAGGCTGTTGTTATATACTGCACTGTTCTTGGCTTCTAGAAGTGAAGCCAATTTGCCAAGAAAGCTGTCTGGTATTTGGATGGGGGGTTAAGTACTTAAAAGTTTTGGGGCCACCCAGACATGTCCCATTTGCTATATTACCACAAAGTAACTCACTAACACTGTCTAGAATATTCTCTAAATGTGCCAAGATCATCCTTCTAGGACGCATCATCCAGGAACTTGCTCTAGAGACTCATCCTAGTCCAGAAAATCTTAACAGGTGTACAGTAATCACCATTTTGACTAAGAACTATTGGTGATAAATTCCCCAGGTTTTGAACACTGGCTACTGTTAGAATTATCTCCCTGGTCTACAGGCTGAGTTCCAGGACTACAGGCTAAATACACAGGGAAACCCTGTCTTTTAAAAAAAAAATATATATATATATATATATATATATATATATATATCCTTCAGACTTCTAGTGTTGCACAAGCTTCTAATCACAACACTCAGGAATCAAAGAAGGTGGATCTCTGTGCATAGGAGGCCAGCCAGGGCTATCCATACATATGTTGTTGTTGGCCTTAAATTGCTTTGTTTTTAATGTTTATGATGACAGAAAAGGTCATCAGATCCCATTCATTATACATAGTTGTGAACCACCCTGTGGTTGCTGGGAATTGAACTCAGGACCTCTGGAAGAGCAACCAGGGCTCTTCTCAACTGCTGAGCTATCTCCAGCTCTGTTTTGTTTTATTTTTTAATGTGTTTATATGTGTACCACATGCATGCAATAATGGCCAGGGGAAACATTAGAGGTTGTCCTGTTGTCTGTGGAAGTGGAGTTACAGATGACTGTGAGCCACTTATCTTTGAGACCAGGTCTGATATAATTTAGATGACCTTGAACTCTTGATGCTCTTGCCTTCACTTTTCCAAAGGCTGGAATTACAGGCATGTGCCCCCTGCTAGCTTATAAAAGGGAAAACATTACTGTGGTGGCTGGTGTAATGCCCTGGCCAGCAGGGCACGATGAAAGTTAAGCCCTCGGGAACCTGGAATGAGGGGACAAGTGATGAGAAGTGGACAGCAGGACAACATGGCTGGTCAAGCTGCATTTATGAGAATTTCCTACAGGCTTATATAGGGGAAGTGAGGTAGGGGATGGGGCAGAGGAATGCGGGACAAAGAGGAAGGGGTCGTTGCTTAGTAACCAGCCGCTAAAGGTGAGCAGATTGCAGGTATTGGCAAGGTGAAAGGGTCGCAGAAGGCGGGGTTAAGTGATCTAATTGTGGAATGTTTCCTTTTTGCCATTGGCTATTCCTGTGAGCCCAAGTTCTATACATTTGGACTGTTCTTTACAAAGGCTGGCGATGTTTACAAAAGGTTCTAAATAACAATGATCACTTCCGACAGTGTAATTCTTAGTCTTCACAATAACCTGGGTTTAGTCTCTTAACGCAAAAGGGAAAATCTAATTAATGTGCATAAAAATCTGGGAGAGGGGAGGGGAGGGAGAGAGAGCTGGGACTGGCAAGTGAAACAAACTTGTTTCTAACTTAAATTTTAAAAAAGTTTTAAAAATCTGGGAGATACTATATTGTGTTTTCTTGCCTTGGAGTGATGTAAGAATTTTACACCTACTGGAACAGTAGGCAGAAACCTTCCTTCTCCAGGAAGAAGCCTGGTGCCTATCAGCAGTCCCCTCCTATTTTCCCACCTCTCAGACTGCCTTGGTTTCCACCTGAAGAGTCACTTCTACATATTTCATAGAAACAAGGTCAGATAACTATGGCCTTTAGTGAGCTTGATTCGCCTAACATGTTTCAAAAAGTCATCTGTGCTCGGGGCATATATAGTGCTTCATTTGAGCAAAGGAGCCTAACATCCTAACAATTGACAAAAGCAGTTGCAAAGCCCCTGCCTTCCCCAAGTAGCTTTCAGAAGAACAGTAACAGTGAGTACAATGTACACATCTGTAATCACAGTACTTGAGAAGCAGAGGCTGGAGGCTTGGGAAGGGCAAGGTCCTACTCTGTCTGCTACAGCATAAGCCTTGCCTGGCTACATGAGAATTTACTTCCTCCAAAAATTTTAACATTGGGAAGGTGATAGAAGACATTTGGGTTTTGAAATGCTGTTGTGTGCTTGAGGGAGCAGGTGTAATGCTCAGTGGTAAGAGTACTTGCCCATCGTGGATTTCATCCAGCACTGAAGAAAAGTGAGGGGCACCATTTTTCTCGTTGTGAAACAATAGTATTTTGAATTGAATAGAAAGATTCTTCAGTGCCCACAAGATGGCTCATTCCTGAGGTCCACATGGTAGAGAATTCTTTTTTTTTCCTTGTTTTTATTGAACTATACATTTCTGCCTCTGACCACACACACACACACACACACACACGCAATTTAACTAGGAGGAAATAGTGTCTTTGTCCCCTTCCTGGACAAATCTTTGGGTCCTCTTTGTTACCTAGGGAGAACTGGCTCTTAAAAGTTATTCTCTCTCTGACCTGCCCATATGTGCCCTACGCACACCAATTTAGCTTTTGTTTTGGGTTTTTGAGGCAGGGTTTCTCTGTATTGCTTTGGAAGCCTGTCCTGGAACTTGCTCTATAGAGCAGGCTGGCTTTGAACTCACAGAGATCTGCCTCCTGAGTGCTGGGATTAAAGGCGCGTGCCACCATCACCTGGCTTTGTTTTTTGTTTTTAATGAAACCTTCAGTGTGGTTGCTTAGTGGCTGTCGGCGACCTAGCTGATGTAAGAGCATGCCTTGGCCTCAGCTCCGTCCTTGTTCTCTTTTGGATGTTATGGAGTCATCTGGCTGACCTTAGATATGTGCAGATTCTTAACCTCTGCGTGTGCGCCACAGGTGTGACTGAACTCCTTGGTTTAGGAACATTTCACCTGTGGCAGTGATGCTCTGGCACAGAGCCCCAGGAGTGGTATTTCCTCTCTTCTAGCTACCCATAGATGTGTGAAGTGGCTTTCGCAAACTATAGCTATTTTAGGAGCATTAATTTAAAAATAATGTCTAGAATTAGTGTTGCCTCTCTTTCATTTGTCACATGCAGAGTAACCAGTTCAAACAGGGAGATTGACAAACTGTAGACAATCCCTTGAGAAATGACTTGAAGATCACTGAGGGAGATGACAAAAATAATTGATCAGTTAGTTGGGAGAGGGAGAAAGAGGGAAATGTTTTCATTTGAAAGTTTGATGTCTAACAGTGGTTCTGAAAACAGTATATTTGTGTCATCATTTACTTAAATACATTTATTTATATTGGGGGTGCCATGTGTGGAGATCAGAGAATTAACTACACAAGTCAGTTCTGTCTTTTCTATAAAGTGGGTCCCAATGACTGAACTCAAATCACCATGGCAAGTCTGTTTTACTCACCAAACCAACTGGCTAGACCAAGACCTAAATTCTTTGTAAGTTTTATTTTTAATTTGTGTTTGTAGGTGTTTTGCCTGCATGTCTGCACTATGTTGTGCCTGGTGCCCTCGGAGCCCAAAGAGGGCATCAGATCCCCTAGAACTGGGGTTATAGACCGTTGTGAACTGCTTTGTGGGTGCTGGGAGTCCCACCTGAGTCCTCGTGAAAAACAGTCAGTGCTTTTAACCTCTGAGCCATCTCTACAGCCCCTGGTTATCCAGAATCAGCCACTGTGGTGGTTGAGATAGAGAGGAGAAAATGTTAGAGCAACCCTCTGTGGGAACTCCTGAAGGGCTCTCCCCATGCTGACAGATAATGGCAACAATCTGTAGGTGATCACTTCCAGACTGAAAGTAGGGAGGGAGCCTTTTGACAGGGTGGCTTGCTGGATGGAAAGTTCTAGCAAGGCTTTTGTAGGGTTTATTTGCAAAAAAAAAAAAAAAGTACAAATGCAGTGTATGTTTATATTGCACAGGCCTTTAACCTAGCACTGGGAAGGCAAAGGCAGCCGGGTCTTGTTCAAAGACAGCCAGGGATATGAAGAAAGACGCTATACAAAATAGCTATAATAGAAGCCTTACAGGTACTTTAACTGAAACATAGGATTAGTAATAGGGTTAAAGAAATAAGCTATGGGAGCTGGAGAGATGACTCAGCTGTTAAGAGCACTGACTGCTCTTCTAGAGGACCTGGGTTCCATTCCCAGCACCTACATGGCAGCTTACAAACTCTAACTCTACTTCCAGGGGATCCCATGCCCTCACACAGACATACATGCAGGCAAAACACCAATGTACATAAAAATCACTTAAAAATAAAGTAAGGGGGCATGCACACCTTTAATCCCAGCACTTGGTAGGCAGAAAGAAAGCAGAGGGGTCTCTGTGAGTTCAAGGCTATCCTGGTCTACAGAGCGAGTTCCAGGACAGCCTCCAAAGCTACAGAGAAACCCTGTCTCGAGAAACAAATAAATTAGGTATGTATTCACTGCTTCAGATGCAGATCCTAGAATAGTTGGGGAAGAGGCTAGAGTCTAAAGACTAAGAAAGTTTTGCTGTGCCTATAATTTTAAAAAATACTTTGTTTAGTGTGGGTGTGGAACATGTGTGAAGATGAGAGGGCAGCTCTCGGGAAAGGGTTCTCTCATGGTTTTTAGGGGTCAAGCTCAGGTCCATAGGCTTGCACAGCAAGTGAGCCATCTCACCCATGTGACTAGTGCTCTTGTAGCCTCTTTCTTAACTTGACATTTAGTAAAGCTAGCCTTGAATGCCTGCTCCAACTGTCTCCACCTCCTAATTGCTGGGACTATGGAGATGCCTCACCTGCAATGGTTGACTTAATGATTATATAGAGAAGTGTTAGATCCACTATGGCTAAGATAGGAAGACGAGAGAGGCTACTGGGGAAGTGGTTAGTTAGCTGGCTGTCATATTTACTGTTGCACTTGGAGTGTGTTCAGTTAGACATCTAGAAACATCAAGTAAGAGTGCATATTGAGAGGACTGGAGGGATGGCACTGGCTGTTCTTCCAGCGATCCTGAGTTCAATTCCCAGCACCCACATGGTGGCTCACAACCATCTGTAACTATAGTCCCTTGGGGGTCCAGTGCCCACTTCTGGTGTGCAAATGTACCTGCAGATGAAACATGTGTATTTTTTTTTAAGTACATATTGAAACAAGATGGCTTTAAGAACTCTGGGTGACTTAAGTGTAACCTGGACACATTGATTTTGCTATGCTCAGACAAAATGTTTCCACTTGGCAGTGCAGGCTCCTTCCTTCTGTTTGTTTTACATGGTGAGGGTCTCTGTGTTGTTTGTTTGTGATACAGGGAATCAAACCCATGGCTTCCTGAACACTAGGCAGCTGCTTTACTGTGGAGTTGCCAGCTCCTGCCTGTGTTCTATTGTTTCATTTTTGTTGTGTGATCTTCTGTAGCTCTGCAGGGATACTGACTTAGACAAGCCCCACTGGTGCTTCAGGTTCCACTCCGGTCTACAGACTGTTGTTTGAGCTAAACTGTCACTGTTATTGTTGGGTCCTTCACCATCTTTCTAAGAACCTACTCAGTCTCTGAATAAATCCAGCTTGAGATAGAAGCTGTGATTAGTCTCGGTTCATAGGTTCTACTCAGTATCTACTACTGATACTGGATTGTGGTCTTTGTTCCTGGACAGGGTGGGTCTGCGCTGGGCTGTTTTCTGTTGACCCTCTTGGTACTTAAAGTAACTGCTTTTCGTGTTTGGGGGCAGAGGAGATCAGGCATACTATATTATTTGCATGGTTTTAATTCATCTATAGCCTTGGGGTCAAGATGAATCTCGGATTTCTCTTGCAGCCATTAGACTCTTGCTTTCTAATAAAACACAAAAGTAGGAGTTTGGCCTTTGTTAAACTGTGATGTTCCTGCCCTCTCTTTAGGTATGGGTGAGATTGAAAAAGGGGAATGATTTCGTTCATTCAACATCAATTCATTAAATCATTCTCAAAAATTGATTGTGAGCTAGGAGTGGTAGTTCAGTGCCCAGGATGCAGGGGTAGAGTCTGTGAGCTAAAGGTCAGCCTAGCCTGTACATTGATTGCAGCTCTTTTGGTTAGTAGATGGCTATGACTCAAACACCTGCCTTGAGCGTTCCCAAAATGACTTTATTAGCACCATGTTCTAACCAACTGAACTAACTGGCCTGCCCCCAGAATTACTTTAGAATTTAGCAGTTGACCTTATATAGTATTTTAGTTTCAATTGTCAAGGCCAGGGATTACTGAGTGTTTTGACAAACTTCTTTCTAATCGATTCCATCTTTCCTTTTTACTAATGCACTTCTGTGTCCCCCTGCCTATTAAATCTACCAAGACTTTTTGGTGGCAGCAAAACTTAAGCACATTTGCTCGTACGTCTAGAAAGGGATGTGGGCACAGTGAGCAGAGTGCTGCCTCGGGCACTACTCTCTGCTTTGCAGCACACCCAACAGCCCTATTTGAGCACATGGACAGCTTTGTGAACTACAGAGAGGAAATGCACTTCTTACTGGAGCAGCAGTAGTTCCAGCTGAGACTGTACGGCAAAGCTTTGTGTAAAACTTGCTGCCCGAGAAGCTACTATGTGCTGCCAGCACCATGACCTGCAAGGATTAGGTGTGAAGTGATTAATGAACAGTACCCGTCTTTCGGGCTGGAGAGTCTGCCCTTTTTGTGCCGTGTATTGAAAGGTTCTCCTTGGTAAGGACCTTTATGGCTGCCCACATAACAAACTGAAAGGCCAAGCAAAGGGGTTGGTGACCACCCTGTCCCTGCAAGTTTGGGGGTTTGTGTGTGTGTGTGTTTTCAAAATGTCTCCTTGTTGAGGTTTCTAGTTCAAAGGGGTTTTGAGGCTTTGAGTCCTTAAAAATTTTTAAGCAAAAAATCAAATGGGTGGCAGTAATGAATTCTGGAGCCAACTACTAGTTTAAACTTTTTTTTTGTCAAAGTGTCACTATTGCAGGGCTTACTTCATTTAAGGTGTAGGTGTCCTCTACCTCATGATCCTCCTGCCTCATCCATCTGCGTTTTGGAGTTACGGATGTGTTACCACCTAGCCCAGCCTGACGCTTAAGTACTTAACAGGTAGTGGCCTGTGAAAAAATCTTTTGAGTCCTTTTTTGTGTCATGTGCAGTGATTCAAACATGGACTAGTATTACAATCAGAAAACTGAGATTTGTAATTCCTACACTGGTGCTTTGGAGTTGGTTTTTTGCTGGCTTTGGTCTTAGCGCTACTATATTCTGCAAAATTATGTTGGATTTAGATTATTAAAACAATTAAGGTCACATTCAGAGCCCTAACAAAAATCTTACCTCCAATTGTACTAATTCAGTTTTCTTAAATAAACACAAGTACTTTCGTTTTGAAGAAACTTGGAAAATGGATCTGCATTTCTTTCTGCTTCTGCCTTTGATGTATTTGGGAAAGTCAAGCAACTTTTTTATTCCCTTAACATGTTCACACTCAACAGGCATTTTGTTTTTTAGAAAATCCCAGAAAGCCTATGGCAGTTTCCATGTGCTCTGAGGCAACAAGCGGGGCTTTCCCCATCTAAGTATCTATTCTGTGGCCTGTGTGAGTCCTTTGCCTGGATGTGTTGCCACCTAAGGAACAGGTCACACACCACTTGGGACTTCAATTTGAGGAGTAGACAGAAACAAGTCACTGAATGTCATGTTGTTTCTGTGACAGTATTGTTGCCTTGACATTTCAAATAGCAAACCCTTCCCTTCCGTGCTCAAAGCTGGATGGTGCTGCAAAGTTTTAAATGCTTTTCTAGGTTTGTAGGTCCAACCTCACAATTGATATTGTTCCATTATCCAACTACAAATTCATCTCTTCAAGGGTTTTTAAGCCTAATCATACTTGTGTGCCTAGATTTGTGGTATAAAAATGTCCTCTAACAAAATAGGGAAGGCCAACAAGCAGTCACCTTTGCCCGCCTGCTTTAAGTGTTCCATACACTAGAAGGAGCCAGGGTTTGGGATCCTGTCAGTGGAATTAGTAAATTTGACAAGTTGTTCATGTTTTGACTTTGACTTAAATTTTTTTTTCCAATAGAAACTATGTTCCAACTTCCTGTCAACAATCTTGGCAGTTTAAGAAAAGCCCGGAAAACTGTGAAAAAAATACTTAGTGACATTGGGTTGGAATACTGTAAAGAACATATAGAAGTAAGTAGCATGCCATTTTTAAATTTTAATGTGACAGCTTCTGATCCGTTACTGTGTCCGTGTACAAGATGGTTCACTATTAGGTGTGATGGTGAATCGTAACTAAACCTGCAGCTTCACCAAAACCTTCTCATTCAGTAGTGCTTACTCCCTTTTCCAGAAAGTGTGTTCATCTTTGCAACCTGAGGCAAAAATAGTTTCAGTATAGAAAAATATACAGACAGTGCACAAGGTGCTTTAAAACTGTATATGAACTTTGTCCTTGAAATGACCTTCAGGGGCTCTAGGAATTCTTGTCTCCAGTCCATGACATAGGAATTGTGGATGCAGGAATTCCAGTCCCATGGTTAGGGAAGGTGCAGTGGGGACTGCAGAGCCTGCTTTAGTTCTCTTAGACCTGGGTGTTTTGTTGACCTGTTGAGGCATGGCTGTCTGGGTGTTTGTCATCTCTTTCCTTAGGATTTGAGTATTTGTCAGCCTTCCTACCCATCAAAGACTTATCTTGCCCTTGTATAGCAGTTTGGCCTTTCCAGACTGTTCCCTAGCCTTTTGTTCTGAGCTTTTCACGCCCCATGGACTAGATAGAGGCGTCTCCTCCTTGTCCAGATCTCCTTGCTCCAGATCTTACACTTAGTTGAACAATACCTCCGACCAAAGCATTGAAAGCAATTTGCCTCAAGAAGTTTATGTTCCTACTGGCTGAGCTAAAGTGGCAGTGTTTAGCCCTTTATCCCACTGCCTAGCACAGTGCTTGGCATGAAACAAGTGCTGAGGACACAGGTCAGGGGTGGAATTGATGGGCATTTCATTCATGATCCAAGTTCTCTTCTCCTGAATCCCACTAAGAGCAGTCAAGGATGTATCCTAGAAACAGAAGCTTCTCTAAAGGGGGCTTCTTCTAGTAGTTTGTTCCCAGGGTGGAGATGACTCTTCAGATTCCCATGGATCTGTACTCTGAACTTGGGGGTGGGTGAGACCCTTCCTAGTAAGTATGCAAATAGGCGATTGTCTTTCCTATCCTGTACTGGGTTTGCTCCTCCCACTACAGCTAATAGGTACTCTGAAGTTTGCACATATCCACCTACAGCTGTGAACCATTCACCCTACTTTCTTCTTAGTCGTATAGGGAGAGCACTACAATTTCACATTAGAGTATAAATTGAACGGCATGTTGCTTACTTTCTTTCTGGGTTAAAAATCCGAATTTTCTTCTAAATCCGCCCTTCCTTCTGTTTATTTGTTTTTTGTTTATGCTGCCAAGCTAGACTCTTACTCTTCCGGGACTATTGGCACATGTCCCTCCTCCACGCAGGGTTGTGACTGGTGAGCTATGTGGTTAAAGGAGCTGCTGTGGGACTGGAGCCTTCCCATCTCTCTGGAAGTTTGGTCATGTGCCTTTTGCATTTGCTGTTTCCCTACACCACTGCATTAGTTCTCAGTGGTTAACCCTCCTGTGCCCTCCACACAGGTTAAGAAGTAGAATTTAAGTGTCAGGACAAGGTGGGCTTGATACCACTGTGTTTTTGTAAATTTCTCTTACTGTTTTTCTAGGATTTTAAACAGTTTGAACCTAATGACTTTTATTTGAAAAACACTACATGGGAGGATGTAGGACTGTGGGACCCTTCACTTACAAAAAACCAGGTAAGTCTCACAGGAAATGTCCCAGAATGTCCTTTTCCCACTGAGCCTTTCATGGGGACAGCTGTCAGCTGTGTCGTGGCAATAGCCTGATCTGGAAAGTGTACACACATCTCATTTTCCTGAGTGCTTGGAAATCTGAGATGTTGGTTGTTCCTGGAGTAAAACTTCAAGTTAAATGAATGAACAGAATTTTCAAGTTGTAACTAACGCTGCAGCTCAGTGGTTGGAGCATTCCCTGTCCTGTACAAAACCATGGGTTTGATCTCCAGCATCACATAACCCAGAGGTGGATCAAAAGGTCAAGGGCATTCTGTATATTCCATATAACAAGTTTGAGACCATCCTAGGCAAATGAGTTCCTTTCACAAAAAAACTGAAATAACCAAGTTGGGGAGCCTGTGGTATATGAGTGTTATTCCACAATGCTGCTTTTATTTTATTTATTTAATGTTTTTTTTTCAAGACAGGGTTTCTCTGACTTTGGAGGCTGTCCTGGAACTCCCTCTTGTAGACCAGGCTGGTCTCACAGAGATCCACCTGCCACTGCCACAGTACCTTTCTACTTACATTTGTTTTTTTTGGTTTTTCGAGACAGGGTTTCTCTGTGGCTTTGGAGGCTGTCCTGGAACTAGCTCTTGTAGACCAGGCTGGCCTCGAACTCACAGACGCCCGGCTTCTACTTACATTTCTAAGGAGCACTCTTCACTATTATGGGTGTAGCCACCCACCTGCTGTCCTATCTGTTACTGTCCTTGCTCTCCAGAGAAAAGTCATAATCAACAGCTTTTCCATGTAGCTAGCCTCTAGCTATCCTGGAATTCACTCTGTAGACCAGACTGACCTCCAATTCAGACTGATTAAAGGCATGCAGCAGCACCACTACCCAGTTAACACTCAATCTTGTATTTACGCTTCTTTATCCCCACTAATGACGCCTAATCTTTATGGGAGGGTGTGGTAGATGACCCTAGAATGGCAGTGACAGGCCATTTTTTGTACCTTTGCATTCAGAAGGATAGTTATTTATACTAGTGTAGCCATAATTAATGTGTGATAATAGGACCAGACAGTAGTGGCACACGCCTTTAATCCCAACACTCGAGAGGCAGAGCCATCTGTTCTCTGGGCTTGACCTGTTGTACAGAACGAGTTCCAGGACAGCCAGAGCTGTTACACAAAGAAACCCTGTTTTCAAAAAAAAAAAAAGATGTGACAATATAGTGCCTTGGTCCTGCCTCAGTGAGATGATGGGACATCACTTCCCCTAATAGACTTCCTAGGGGAGGCCTTACCCTCTTCCAGGAGCAGGTGGGGGAGGGAGAGGAGAAGGGGGGAAGGGGAACTGGGATTGGAATGTAAAAAATTAATAAATTTTTAAAATGTGACGGTATTGTGAATGGTATTTCTCTCCATGGGGAAAAGTGATTGTGAACTCCCTTTCTAATTCTGTGCTTTGTACTTTTGAACTCTACTTAATGTCCTAGGGAAAAGTTCTGTGCAGCATTCTTACAAGAGAAGGCCTTCCTAGAAAAGGTTTGGTTTTGAGGACAGGCTATACTGAAACTCAGAAATCCACCTGTCTCTGCCTCCCCAGCACTGGGTTTAAAGGCAAGACACGAATACACCTGAGGAGCTTTGAGGGAATCCAGAAAATTCAAAACATTCAGGAAAAACAGGAGAAAAGATGACTGCTTATCACATGTATATTTACCTATTTGAGATCATAATTTTGAAAGCTGGCGTCTGACTAGTGTGCTGTGTAGTTCATGGTTTCTGAACCCTTTGCCCTGTCTATAAGACACTTTCAGTTAACTTTGGGTTTTCGAGGTAGGGTTTCTCTGTGTAGCTTTGGAGAGCCTGTGCTGGCACTCCCTTTTGTAGGCCAGACTAGCTTCAAACTCAGATAGGTCTGCCTACCTCTGCCTCTCAAGTTCGGGGATTAAAAGCATATACCATCATGCCTGGTTTTTCATTGACATTTTTGAAAAAGAAAAAAATACTTTCTTGAATATACCGTGCTGTGTACATGCTTGGTGCCTTCAGAGGTCAGAAGAGAACACCAGATAGCTTGGAACTGTAGTATGCCTTGTGCTGGGAATCAAACCTAGAGCCTCTGTGAAAGCAGCTAGTGCTGAACTGTCTCTCCAGCCCTCATTGACCTTTTGAAGCTTCTCTGTCAGAAGTAGAAGAACAAGGCCAATATTTCAGTCTGGAGCCTTTTGACCTTGCAGTGAAGACTAAATAAATACACTGTGCATAAGGTTGGAGAAGAAATTTAAAGAGAGTTTTGTTTTTTGTTTTTAATATTGTTGCATGGTGGCAGAGAAAAAAAGTATACCTGTATTGCTTATGAAGGCATATGGGTCTTTGAGTTCCTATGTCTGAAGCCTGAGCAGATTACTGATTCACAAAATAAGGAGTTTGTGTGGCTTATTCTGATTGTTTTCATGGATAAAATGTTTTTCTTGAAGCCTTTTTTTTTCTTTGATTTCTCTCTGAAACCAGCCAGCAAATAAAATTAGCCATTTTTAAAGGATTAGCAAGAACTTAGCACTGAGTTTTAGTTTACATAGTGTTCCTATGTAATAATAAAGGTATTTGAGTAAAAATGTGTCTGAGTTCTATGAGTTTCTCTTTCTAGTTTCCCAGCAGGAGAAACCTTCAAAAATCATTGCCCTGTAGAATTTCTGGGAATGACTGGAGCGGGAGGGGTGCCTAAACCTGTAACTACCTGCCTCAGGTGGCTTTCTCATTTTGGTTTCTGTTTTGTTTTGTTTCACTTATTTTTTAGGACTATCGGACAAAACCTTTTTGCTGCAGTGCTTGTCCGTTTTCCTCCAAATTCTTCTCTGCCTACAAGAGTCATTTCCGGAATGTCCATAGTGAAGACTTCGAAAATAGGATACTCCTTAATTGCCCTTACTGTACCTTCAATGCAGATAAAAAGACTTTGGAAACACACATTAAAATATTTCATGCTCCAAACTCCAGCGCACCGAGTAGCAGCCTCAGCACTTTCAAAGATAAAAACAAAAACGATGGCCTTAAACCTAAGCAGGCTGACAATGTAGAGCAAGCCGTGTATTACTGCAAGAAGTGCACTTACCGAGACCCTCTTTATGAGATCGTCAGGAAGCACATCTACAGGGAACATTTTCAGCACGTGGCAGCACCGTACATTGCGAAGGCAGGAGAAAAATCACTCAATGGTGCAGTCCCCTTGGGCACAAATGCCCGAGAAGAGTGTAACATCCACTGCAAGCGATGCCTTTTCATGCCCAAGTCCTATGAGGCTTTGGTACAGCATGTCATTGAGGACCATGAGCGCATAGGCTATCAGGTCACGGCCATGATTGGGCACACAAATGTTGTTGTGCCCCGAGCCAAACCCTTGATGCTGATTGCACCCAAACCTCAAGAGAAAAAGGGCATGGGACTCCCACCAAGAATCAGTTCCCTTGCTTCTGGAAATGTTCGGTCTTTGCCATCACAGCAGATGGTGAATCGACTGTCAATACCAAAGCCTAACTTAAACTCAGCAGGAGTCAACATGATGTCCAATGTTCACCTGCAGCAAAACAACTATGGAGTCAAATCTGTAGGCCAGAGTTACGGTGTTGGCCAGTCAGTGAGGCTTGGTCTAGGTGGCAACGCTCCAGTTTCCATCCCTCAGCAGTCTCAGTCTGTGAAACAGTTACTTCCAAGTGGAAATGGGAGGTCCTATGGGCTAGGTGCTGAGCAGAGGCCCCCGGCAGCAGCCAGGTACTCCTTGCAGACTGCCAACACCTCTCTACCCACAGGCCAAGTGAAGTCTCCCTCTGTGTCTCAGTCACAGGCATCTAGAGTATTAGGTCAGTCCGGTTCTAAACCTCCACCAGCAGCCACGGGCCCTCCTCCAAGCAACCATTGTGCCACCCAGAAGTGGAAAATATGTACAATCTGTAATGAGCTTTTTCCTGAGAATGTCTATAGTGTTCACTTCGAAAAGGAACATAAAGCAGAGAAAGTCCCAGCAGTAGCTAACTACATTATGAAAATACACAATTTTACTAGCAAATGCCTCTACTGTAATCGCTATTTGCCCACAGATACCCTGCTCAACCATATGTTAATTCATGGTCTGTCTTGTCCATATTGCCGATCAACCTTCAATGATGTGGAAAAAATGGCAGCACACATGCGAATGGTTCACATTGATGAAGAGATGGGGCCTAAAACGGATTCTACTTTGAGTTTTGATTTGACATTGCAACAGGGGAGTCACACCAACATCCATCTTCTAGTGACCACATACAACTTAAGGGATGCTCCAGCAGAATCAGTTGCTTACCATGCCCAAAATAATGCCCCAGTTCCTCCAAAGCCACAGCCAAAAGTTCAGGAAAAAGCGGATGTCCCTGTTAAAAGTTCACCTCAAGCTGCAGTGCCCTATAAAAAAGATGTTGGGAAAACCCTTTGCCCTCTTTGCTTTTCAATCCTAAAAGGACCCATATCTGATGCGCTTGCACATCATTTACGAGAAAGACACCAAGTTATTCAGACAGTTCATCCGGTTGAGAAAAAGCTAACTTACAAATGTATTCATTGCCTTGGTGTGTATACTAGCAACATGACAGCCTCAACCATCACCCTTCATCTAGTCCACTGCAGAGGTGTTGGGAAAACCCAGAATGGCCAAGACAAGACGAATGCACCTTCTCGGCTCAATCAGTCTCCAGGTCTGGCTCCTGTGAAGCGCACCTATGAGCAAGTAGAGTTTCCTCTGCTAAAAAAGCGGAAGCTGGAGGATGACAGTGACTCCCCCAGCTGCATTGAAGAGAAGCCTGAAGAGCCTGTTGTTTTAGCTTTAGACCCCAAGGGTCATGAAGATGATTCTTACGAAGCTAGGAAAAGCTTTCTCACAAAATACTTCAACAAACAGCCCTATCCCACCAGGAGAGAAATTGAGAAGTTAGCCGCCAGTCTATGGCTATGGAAGAGTGACATTGCTTCCCATTTCAGTAACAAGAGGAAGAAGTGTGTCCGTGACTGTGAGAAGTACAAGCCTGGTGTGCTGCTAGGCTTTAACATGAAAGAACTAAATAAAGTCAAGCATGAGATGGATTTTGATGCTGAGTGGCTATTTGAAAATCATGATGAGAAGGACTCAAGAGTCAATGCTAGTAAGACTGTTGACAAAAAGCTTCACCTTGGGAAGGAAGATGGCAGCTTCTCAGATAGTTTTGAGCATTTAGAAGAGGAATCCAATGGAAGTGGCAGCCCTTTTGACCCTGTCTTTGAAGTTGAGCCTAAAATTCCTAGTGATACTTCAGAGGAGCATGTACCGAAGGTAATTCCTGAGGATGCTTTGGATTCTGAGAAACTAGACCAAAAAGAGGAGGAGGATGGTTCAAAGTATGAAACTATCCATTTGACTGAGGAACCAACCAAACTAATGCATGATGCCTCTGACAGTGAGGTAGACCAAGATGATGTAGTTGAGTGGAAAGATGGTGCTTCACCATCTGTGAGTGGCCCTGGTTCCCAACAGATATCAGACTTTGAGGATAACACGTGTGAAATGAAACCAGGAACCTGGTCTGATGAGTCTTCCCAGAGTGAAGATGCAAGGAGCAGTAAGCCAGCTTCCAAAAAAAAGGCTATGGTGCAAGATGACACAGAGCAGTTGAAATGGAAGAATAGTTCCTATGGAAAGGTGGAAGGGTTTTGGTCGAAGGACCAATCACAGTGGGAAAATGCATCTGAGAATGCAGAGCGCTTACCAAACCCACAGATTGAGTGGCAGAATAGCACAATTGACAGTGAGGATGGGGATCAGTTTGACAGCATGACTGATGGAGTTGCTGATCCCATGCATGGCAGCTTAACTGGAGTAAAACTGAGCAGCCAGCAGGCCTGACGGCCTGGCGCTCCACGGCACATGGGCCATGTTGCATCCTGGACCTCTGTTATGACTGCAAAGCTGTCTTCTAACTGGCAATGCCTTGCAAGGACTGGTCAGTCAACAAGCTGTTGGGGACATGTGACCACTATAGTCACAGTGGTTATTTCTAAGTCTATGACATGTGATTGGTTGATCTTGCTTCAGACCCTTCTCTGGTAGACTCAGTAATGGAGTGTAAAAAAACCAGTAAGCTGGTGGCTCATGAATGCACACAGGGAAAAGCAGTTTGTTACCTGCCTTTGCAGCATTTTTTTCCCTTGGTAAGATGTTTGGTTGGATGTCCTGAGAAAGCCTTACCCTGATTCACATAGTAGTGCAGGGCGGGCATACATGCTACCAGTCAGGTGTGTCTAGTAGACTTGGGAACTTGGACCTTTTTTCGTGTATTCATTCTGAATAGTTGAAAATGTATATTTGTACAGTCTTTTAGACCTCAAGTGATGCTTATGACACTGTTACTGTGTGCCCGTCATAGATTGGTTTCTAGTGTTGCCCTTGCTGTGTGATAAATGCTATATCTAGTTTACCCAGCAGAAGCTTGACCCTGCGATAGTGTGGACCTTTGGACAGACTTAGTTTTTGCACATAACCTTGTACAATCTTGCAACAGAGGCCAGTGACATAAGATATAAATCTGGACTCTCCTGTATTATAGAATTTTTTCTTGTTCTGAGTATCCTTGACATTACAATTGTCAAAATTGATATTTCAGATCTCTTTCTGAGACCTTTTAAGCTAAAGTAACATGCAAGAATTGATTTTACAGCTACTAATTTTGACACCTTTTAGATCTGTAAGAGTGTTGTCAGAGCAGCAAGCACAGTTGAGTGCTGCATTTGGGATATTTAGTTTCCTCTTTAGTTGAGCACCGCCGGGTGTATTCATTTATACCATCTAATATATGACACACTGTTGTAGTATGTATGATTTTTGTGGTCTTTATTTCCCTTTGTATTCATTTTAAGCATCTAAATAAATTGCTGTATTGTGCTTAATGTAAATATTTGCTTTTATTATACATGTCAGTCCTGTGTGTCCATTACATCTTTTGCCGTTTGATGCCACAGCACCCTGAGCAGAGATGGAAGCTACACTGACGAAGAAAACTTGTGAGAAACTGCAATCTGTCATTTGCCTAAAGCATGCTTTCTCTCCAGGTACCGCCTACAAATTTTTTACTGTGTGTATAGTGTTTCCTTTTTGCTACAAAAGTAAACGTCCTTGAAGGTTTTGGTTTCCCTTTTTGATAAGGAGCAGAGCTTGGATCTGTATGTAAATCCATAGATATGTTGGCCCCCTAATGGTCTTTCTTCCCGCTTTCTGTATGGCAACAGCTGTACCAGACAGGCAGTTGCTTTGCCTCTGGAGTCCTTTGGCCATTTTGTTCTGAAGAGAAAGACTGAATTGCACACATTTGGGGGCACTTGGCACTGAAGGAGCTGGTAGATTGATTACACAGAGACTTCCATGAACAGGCTAAATGCAGAACACAGTAAGGAGGCAGAAGTGGCATAGCGTCTAAGATGGGACATGACTGGGGTAGGTAAGCTACCTCGCAGGATTGTGAGCCTCCTTGCAAGGAAAGCTGTTTTCCTGACCTGAAAACAGTAAAGGAAATAGACCTTTCCTAAATCATTCTTGCCATGATATATTATGAATGTGTGCAGCAGCTATGATTCAGGGAAAGTTATCTCCATAGCCACATGCTACAGACACCCAAATCGGAAACACCAGCTGATATTTAAGCCACCTCCCACTCATGTGGGAATCTAGCCTAAGCTCTGCCTAGACCACATTAGACTGTTGCGGTAGTGTGGAAGTGAGGTAGGGCTCGTGGTCCTTCTAGACATCTGAGGGAGACCCGGGTGCTACCTTGCCAAATGGATGGATGGGTATGAGACCTCTAGCACCAAAGGGTTTAGCCACCACGGTAGAAATGGGTTCCTAAATGGAAATAGTGCTGAAGCTCTGAGAGTCTCTCAATAAAAGCCATTTTGAAAGAACCCCTTTGATCCTGTTTGCTTTTGGCTGAATCTGACAGTCATTAACCATACCTTGCACTTTAGAAACTGTGAAACTCTAAGCTTAAACATTCTATAGATTTTTTAAAGGAATCTTAATCCCAGATGTCATTGCATTTTTGCACTTGAAATTTTGTGTGGCTGTAAGTTCTAGTTCATGATTCCAGTGGACGGCTGTTTCTCCCCCTCTGCATCTCCCATCATTATGGGGGGCATAAAAGATTCATCCAGCTGTCTAAAATACAGGAAGAGTCAAAGTCCCTGCTTGCCTAAGTGTGTGTCCATTTGGTCTCAGTGTTTGCTGTTGGCATAGTGAGAGGCCAAGTATTTAAAGATGGGAACTCAACAGCTGAAGCATTGCAAGAGTGAGTGTTCTGACTACTCATCAGGTGATCTCTCCACACACACAAGTTCCTCCTGGCCTCTACCTCACTGCCAAAATGGGACCCAAAAATCTCCAAGTGGCTCCCTGCCCTTGGCCTCAGATGATAAAGAACCTCTTAATGTGGACTGAACTTTACAGGATTGTTTTGAGCAATGGTTGATTCTACCCATTGCCACTATTTATAACCCTGCTGTTACCAACCAGAAGCCTGGTTCCATATAGCATTCATGTGAAAGTCTGGGAAATCCCAAAGACGACAAAGGGTGAAGACTGCCTGTGATAACATTCCGGCGTGGCAGCAAGCAATTGGCTGTAAATCTAAAATGGCACCTCCACACCTCCAGGGAACCTGGTTTCAAATGGCACCCAGTTCTATCCTGAAGGGTTGGCCAGTAAGCATCTGACCCCTTTTCTATCGGCTGGAACTTGAACTCAAGACTCGAGTTTACTGTCGTGTGATTGCAGGCCTCTGTTGAGGATGACTGAAAGTAAAGGTGATCAAGACACTCCCCTGGGAATCTTCAGGTTGCACTTGCAAAGTTCTTCAAGTGAAGGCATGGGAAAGGAAGACTACATCACAACAGGTTTCTTGCATTCAGATACGATCTTCATGTGATCTCCGTCCAGTGCACCATCTGACCTCCCGGTGTGAGACCACTTAGACAAGTTTGCAGTTTACAACTTTGTGTACCCTTAGGTCTTAGGAGCAAAAAAAATGTACCCAATAGAGTTACCTTTCAGGAGCTAATAAAGTACCTGAAATAAAAGGGCCTTTCCAGTGTACTGGCTGCTAAGCCCAATGTCAGCAGGGTTCTTGGGGCAGCCATCTGCAAACAGAAAGATGCTCCTTGGAGCTGATGGAGGGCAGCCTCCAAGATGAACCTGCTGCTCTGGGGTGCATGTCCAACTGGAGCCTGGCCTCAATAGTCAGTTCCTGGAGAAGCTCCACCCTGGCTGGCCTGGGGTGTGTGGGGGGGCATGCAGCTGACAGTAAGGTTCAAAGTCTTAATCAAGGGGATGGGGGGATCTCAAGTCTATTCACCACACACACCCTGCAGTCTTGGTGTTGCCTAAAGCCCTATTGCACAAGAAAGGCTTCCCTGGCTGGGAGTTGAAAGATGTGTCTAAACTTTCACATTGAACTTGCTGCCTCCTGTTTGAAATCACTTGCATTTTTCTGGTGTGGGGGCACAGATTAAACCTAGTGTTCAGTCACCTTGCAGATATGTGTGGTTCTGGGAATGGAACCCAAGATTTCTGCTTGCTAGGCAAGTACTGTGCTCGCTGCACCATCTCCCCAGTCTATGCTATTGCCAGCTTTTGCTGTGTGCTGAGGGCTCCTAGTCTGGTGGAGCACACGTGTAGTCTCAGCACTTAGGGGCTGCAGATGTCTGTAAGTTGAAGTCTGAGGTACAGACTTCCTCTCATTTGAGGGAGGTAATAAATAAAAATCAGAGTATGATCTAGGACTTACAGTGCCACTGAGATTACCTCCCCTCCCCCCTTGATTCTGGAAAGGTGAAAGGCTCTCAGGAGACTTACCAGCTGAACTCATTGCCCTGGTGTGGTAGGTGGCACCAGAGATGAATTGCAAGCCCAAGTGGGACCCTAGCTCCAGCCCTTTGCAGCAAAGTTTACTTCCTTAGCAGTGATGACCCAGGTGGCCTTGTACACATCGTGCTCCTTGAGGTCAGAAGATGACTGGTCGGTTCTTTTCTTGGGTTCCAGGGATCAAACTCAGGTCACTAGGCTTACTCAGCAAGTGCCTTTATCCACAGCCATCATTCTGACCCCCAAATCTCTGAGATAACCAGAACCCTCATCAAAGAAGGTCAAGCTCAAGCAGATAGTGGTTAGCTGCCAGGGGACTGACTGCTAAGTGATGCCATCAGCAACAGCTCAGGGTCTTAAGTGCTTCACCATCATTCTAGGCAGACACCTGCTTTTGAGGCACTGCCCTAGGAAGGGGCTCCCCTCCAGTATTGAGCAAAATACCTGAATTGACCCATTGCCTGGTGGAATGAGTTTAGCCTAGAGCCACTGCCACCAGCACAGTGGACAGAACATCTTGGCTGCCATCTGTTAAATCTATTGACACAAATCAGAAACAAGTTTGAGCTAGCTCCATCAAAGATATGAGAGATGATAGGATGCTGTACTCACAGTCTTTGATCATCCTTGCCAACTGGAGGTGAGTCCCCTGGACAACATATACTGGACAGCCTTATGGTTGTTCTGGGTCCCTCCAGAGGGCCTGTGGGATTGGTTGGTATACAAGGACCAGGACAAATAGATGCCAGCCAGACTGCCAGCAACTGGAATTGCAGAGAACATGTATTCCAGAGACTGCCCAGACATCTATTCACCAGTCTCCTTGCGGTAAGCTCCTTGGTGCTAAGGATACCAAATCCAGCACCCACTGGGGCCAGCCCTGCATAGAAAGTCTGAAGACAGTTGTTCTAAACGCTCATAGCCAGGGCTATGGAGATGGTTCAACCTGTAAGAGTGCTTGCTGGACTTCAGTTCCTAGCAACCACACCCTAGCATGCTTAAAATAAAAATAAATAATTGCCACAAGCCTGGGGTGTACTCTATTTTTTGTTTCTTAATATGAATGTATGTGCCATGTGTACAGGTGCCCGTGGAAATCAGGAAGTCAGAAGAGCCTCAGCTCCCCCGAGCTGGAGTTACAGGCAGTTGTGAGCTGCCCACATTGTGGGTGCTGGGAAGAGACTAGTCCTCTGTAAGAACAAGCATTCAACTGCTGAGCCATCTCTCCAGCCCTATAGATAGCCATTTTTATGTGGAATATCCTGGGAGGCAGAGATTGTTGGCAGATTCTGTTTTGTTTTCCCAGATAAAGTTTCTCTGTGTTGCCCTGCCTGCCCTGGAGCTCACTTGTATAGATGGGCTAGCTTTGAACTGACAGAAATCAGCCTGCCTCTGCCTCCCAAGTGCTGGGATTAAAGACTTGCACTACCACTGACCTGACACAGACTTTTGAATAGGAATTTTTGATTAGGTAAGTAAAATGGGTTTTTGAATAGGAAAGCACACCAAGATACCAAAAAGAGAAGAAAGCAGTGAAAAGGACTTCATGGAACAGAACCACTAGGTTTTCATCCTGAGAGCATCTCATCACCATGCCGTGCCCTCACACCTTGTTTACCTCTTCTTCCTCTTCATATCTTGGTAATATGTTTCCATCAGCTCATGAGGAACTCCCAACCCATCTTCTCCACTTTATGGCACCCTACCCTGTGGACCAGCCAGGACAGGAGCATTCCCCTCAAGGAACACTTGGAGCTTGGGGTGTGGCTCAGCTGGTAGAGGACTTGCTGAGCATCCAGGAAGTGCTCAGTTCCATCCCCAGCACCAAGTGAGTTGAGTGTGCTGGTGCAAGCTTGTCATCCTAGCAGGCGAGGAGGCAGAAGGGTCAGGAATGAACAGAGTCCAGGGCTCTTCCGCTGCCTTTCGTTTCTCCAAGGCAATTGCACTGTATAGTTCTGATTGTCCTTGTTTCTGTTTTATTTAACGTTTTACTGTGCAGCTAAGGCTTTGACATCAGAACCCTGCCTCAGCCTTTCAAGTAGCTGGGACCAGGTATGAGCCACCATGCTCAGCTGGCATTTGTCATTTCTTTGTAATGTCTGCAAGCTGGGTTCCTAGAGGTGGCATTCCCCACAGTCCTCATTGTGACAGACACTGCCAGTTGTCCACAAGAATGGTGTCCATCATCGTTAACAGGGTGTGACCAAAATTTCATCAGCAGTGCCATCAAGCTGTTGATAGTAATTATAGGCAAGTGCCTGACCACATTCCTGCCCCATCACGGTGATGTCAGGCAGATCTCAAGTTCAAGGCCAGCCAGGACTACATAGTGAGACCCAACCTAAAACAAAAACCAAAAACAGGAGGACTAAGAAGATGGAGAAGAGCTGCTAAGTGTGAAGACTTCCCTACACCCATGTAAAGCCAGGAGTTGTAGCACACGCATCGACATGTGGTAAGACAGAAAGTGGAAGCAGGAGACCCACATACATAGTGGCAGGCAGCAGCGATGAGAAAGCCCTTGTTAGACAAGTTAGAAGGTGAAGACTGCTACCCAAGGTTGTCCAGTGACCTCCACACATGCTCCATGGCACATGCACACCCACACTCAACAGTAACAAAAAGGATCACAATTGGGGTTTCTTAGTCACTATGGTTAAGCCCCTTAGTGTCTATACTTTTGTGGAATGCTTGCTTACATTCTTTGCCCATTTTCCTAGTTTTTTATTGTAGATGCTGTTTACATATTAAGTCATCTCTTTGAACATGATTAGTGTTGAATTTGCTTAACATTTTATAAGGTCAGAGACATGGCTCAATCAGGTAAAGGTGTTTGCCACCAAACCTTACCATCTAAATTCAATCCCAGAGCCTGTAAGGTAGGGGGAGAGTACTGACTTACTCAAGTTGTCCTTTTTCCTCCATACTCAAGCTATGGCACACGTGCACACACAATATATTAATAGTAAATGAATGTAAAAATAAAGATTTATTTTTTAAAACTATCAAGTGTGACGTGTAGCAGTTTCTTCCCAGATTGGAACATTTTGTCCAGCAGACAAACAGCTCAATAGCTTCAGGAAGTTCCTGAAACTGACCAGGTTCAGTAGCCCATCCTTCCCAGGAGTAAGCAATAAAGACTACTGAGAGTCGCTCTCAGACTACCCAGGCTACAAAGAAGACTCTCAGAGACCAGCCCGCTGCCGGACAGAGGACCAGACCAACTGAGTCACCTGGAAAGGACACTCTCCAACCTGTTGAGATGCCTGCAAGCTGTGGACTGTGCCCAGGTTCCCTCTTTCAAGAGCTGTCACCCGTGCTGGGGTGGACACTTGGTGATGTGACTGTCTTTGTGTCATTTCTGCTCCTGTAAGTAACTCCTATTACTCCTAATAAAACTCATTGGTTCAGTAATCGGGCATTGGTGCATCTGTTACTTTGGTCTTTGGAGGGCTTCCTTTCTGTGGTGAGTAGATGTGTGTTTCTCTCCCCAGCATTGGATCCCCTGGAGCTACAGGACATGGGTGCTGGAAGTCAAACTAAGACCCTCTGTAAGAGCAGGAGGAAGTGGGAACTCCTGACTGCTGAACCATCTCTCAACTTTTTGTTTTTTGAGGGAGGTTTTCTTTGTGTAACAGCTCCAGCTGTCCTGGAACTTGCTCTGTAGACCAGGCTGGCCTGGAACTCAAAAAGATCCACTTGCCTCTGCCTCTTGAAGGCTGGGATTAGACATGTACCACCACCCAGCTAAACTTTTTATTTATTTGTTTATTTATTTTTTTGAGACAGACTATGTAGCCCTGGCTGGCCTAGAACTTAGTGTATAGACCACCTGATCTCAAACTCAAGAGTCCCATCAATCAGGCCCCTAATACCCAAAATCAGCTTTGGGTATTTCAATAAGTTTTGTTTACTATAAAATTTTTTTGGCTGGTTGGTGACAGGACCTCTGCACACAGGACCTCCCTGCATGCCAGTGTCCAAGGTCTTTGCATACACGTGCTTGGCTGCAGGCAATCCTGTAAAGCATTTTCTTAATCATTGATGGGAGAGGGCCCAGCACATTGTAGATGATCACCCCCACCTCCATCCTGTAGGAAAGCAAGCTGAGCAAGCCATGGGAGCAAGCCAGTAAGCAGCACCCATCCATGGCCTCTGCATCAGCTCCTACCTCCAGGTTCCTGCCCTGCTTGAGCTCCTGTTTTCTACTAGTAACAGTGATCTGGAAGTGTAAGCCAAATAAACCCTTTCCTCCTCAATTTGTTTTTGATCATCGTGTTTCATCATATCAATTTCAACCCTAAGAGACTTTCTTACTGCCATCTCTCTAGTTTCATTATTTTGGGCTGAAATTCCATCCCCTGATCTGTATGTGTGTGCATGTATACATGCATGTGTGTTTTAAGAATGCAACGGGGGTAGAGGGGTGTGGGGGTGGGGCTCAGAAGTTAAGAGCACTGACTGCTTTTCCAGAGGAACTGAGTTCAATTCTTAGCACCAACTTGGCAGCTCACAACTGTCTGTAACTCCTGTTGCAGGGGATCCAACACCCTCACACAGACATGCATACAGGCAAAACATCGATATACATAAAATACAAAAATAATTTTTAAAAGATGCATGGGGCTGGAGAGTTGGCTCAGTGGTTAGGAGCACTGGCTGCTCTTCCAGAGGACCTGGGCTCAATTCTCAGCATCCATGTCTGATCACAACTGTCTTTAACCTCAGTTACTGGGGAGCCAACATCCCTACACAGACATACATGCTAGCTGCGTGGTGGTGGCGTACACCTTTTATACCAGCACTCGGGGCAGAGGCAGACATAGGAGTTCGAGGTCAGCCTGGTCTACGAAGTGAGTTCCACTACACTACAGAGAAACCCTGACTCAGAAGACCAAAGAAAGGGGGAAAAGCTCATCTCAGGGCCTGGAGAGATGGCTCAACAGTTGAGAGCACTAGCTGTTCTTCAGAGAAACTGGGTTCAGTTTTGATTTCCAGCACCCACAGATTGGCTCACAACTGCCTATAACTCCAGTTCCAGAGGATCCGATGTCCTCCTCTGACCTCAGGACACCAAGCACACACAGTGCATAGACATACATGCAAGCAAAACACCCATAGATAGATAAAAACCAAGTGCACATGTAGGCTGGAGAGGTGGATCAGCAGTTAAGAGCACTGGTTGCTCCTCCAGAGGACCCAGGTTCTATTCCCAGCACCCACATGGAGACTAGTCTCAGGGGATCTAGCGACACTTTTGGGCCTCCATGGACACCAAGCATGCACATGATGCACAGAACTCTACACAGGCAAAACACTTATATATACACATAAAGAAGCAGCCAAGTATGGTGGCATACGTCTTTATTTCTAGCATGAAGGAGGTAGAAGCAGGTATCTATGAGTTTGAGGTCAGTCTGATCTACATAGTTACAGGCCAGGGCTACCCAATAAGACCCCATCTCATGACACATGTATGACCCGATTTTTTTTTTTTTGGAGGGGGCATGATTTTTGAGGCAGGGTTTCTCTGTGGCTTTGGAGGCTGTCCTGGAACTAGCTCTTGTAGACAGAGCACAGAGATCTACCTGCCTCTGCCTCCCCAGTCCTGGGATTAAAGGCATTCACCACCACCGCCTGGCCATGTGAGCATTCTTACCTCTAAGAGGAATTCCAGGTGTCTAGCCCAGGTGGAAGCTTTGTAGGGGAACCTGGAAGGTGAGGATAAAAACAAGTCCATCTGTAGGAGATAGGCCAGCACGTAGGGCCAAGGACCTGTGAAGACCCAGCCTGCCCTCGCCAGGAAAAATGGCCTCCAAGAAACACCAACATAGGAAAAAGGCCTGCACAGTTGCCATGTGGGTCACTAGGGAGCCCTTGACACGTTTATTGGGGTGACTCACAGGACAGGGTCAGGTGCTGGCAACTGGCAGAAAGTGTCTTTGCAGGCTGATTCCAGGCATGGCTCCTTTGTCAGGTCCCATGGCTGCATCATCCCAAGAACCCAAAGCGAGCATGGAGAGGGAGAGAACCCAGCAGCTCCTGTGCAGTTACCCCATACCCTGGGATGTTAACAGTCGGGACGGCAGCCTGTGCCTCCCAGCTCCCATAGGAAGATAGCTTTTCATCCAGTATAGCATGGGCAGCCCATATGTCAGGGGTGCTGGCCCCACTGGCTCCTGGAATGACAAAAGCCAAGCTGTCATGTCACAATAGGGATTCACCTGCTCCGATGCCAGGAGTCACACCACCACCACCACCGGAGAATCTCAGCCTTCCAATGATCCAGAGCTGACATGGGTACCACACCACAGCAGAAGACTGATGGTGTTGGCCAAAACCAGAACCCCAAGGTCTGGCAGAAAAGGAAGCACCTCATGCTACTGCTTGCATTCCAAGCAGTGTGTGTGTGTGTGTGTGTGTGTGTGTGTGTGTGTGCATATGTGTGCACGATGAATAGGTGCCTTTGCTGAGATATGCACAATGCTATCTTGGCATCACTTCCCCAGGACCTGCCTGTGCTCATAACACTCCTTTTCGAAAGTGGAACCCCTTAGGAAGTCCCACACAACCAGCTTCTGACTTGTGCTGATGTAACTTTGGGAAGGGAGATTTCCCACCAGGCACCTCTGCCTGGCTAGTTGGTGGTCTCCAGTAGAATATGAGTGAGGGCCAGGGCCAGGCCAGAGTCAGTGTCCCAGCTCCAGAGGACCTCTACAGGGCTGGGGAGGGCTGAAACAGAGTCTCTTGTATCCAGGGCTGAATGAAGCTGGCTTTGAAATGCTGATCCACCAGCCTCTGCCTCCTGAGTGCTGCAAACAGGCACCAGCAGCCACCACACCGGGATCCCCTGTTCCCTCCAGAAATGGTTCTACCAGCAGGGAGACAGAGTTCCAAAAGAGAGGGAGTTGGACCTAATTTGACTGGACCCAGAAGCAGCAATGGGAGGCAGCTGCTGCCAGTACCCTGCTCAGGTGCAATGAGCTAGTTTGGTAAGCTGGCACCAGGCTTTGCTCCTGGTGATGGTAAGAAACGCCACAACTGGCTTCAGAAAGCCAGGGAAAGAGGGGAGGAGAGCATCATCATCACTGAAAATTACACTCTGGAATTTGAGAGCTTCGAAAGGGGGGTTTCCCCAGAAGTAACCTCACTGGCTTTTCTTTTCCAAAAGGGTCTCCACCTTGGACACTAAGAAAGGCTGTGGAGGCTGATGTAGCTCCATTCCACCGGGAGCCGGGCCCCTGGCATCATCTTGGGGATCATACTGGAGAGATCTCCATGCTAAGTGACTGGAGAATCCACAGTGGAGCTACCAAAGGCCTTTGCCATGTCCTCTTGGGGGTGGGGGGCGGCAAACGCGGGCTGTCTTGACCTGTGCACTTCCGCTTCCGGGATGGCGTCCCAATTTCTCTCAGCCAAGCTGGTCTTGCCCACCTGCAGCAGACCCTTCCCTTGCCCACAGCTACTGGGCCAGCTGAGCACGTGACCCAGTCAGGCACAATGAGAAGCCACCTTGGGTTCCTCACTGGGTCACTGGGGTTTGCAGGAATGCCACCACCCAGGGCTTGTGCACGAACGCGAGGCAGCCTGGGCAAAACAGAGGCCGGGTTCAAGACCCGATTCCGCCCCACGCTGGAATCGTGGGGCCACGGAATTTCTTTGCTTCATCCAAAGTTACCCTGAGTGGGCCGTCACTTGCCACTCAGACTCCCGCCCGAGGTGGTAGGAAATCCGCCTGGATTCTGAAAGCTTACTCAAAAGCCAGCGGGCAGGAGCGGGCAGGTCCAGGATGCTGCAAACTGCCTCAGCCCTGTCGGGGTGCAGACACCCTCTTCAGGGCTGGCGAGCGCGACCTCACCCAGGGAAGCCCTAACCTTGCGTCTGGTGTAAGCTCCTGCCTGTCACCCTCTGCCAGGCTCCTGGATGGCAGGGTAACAAAGCTACACCTCAAGTCTCGCCTGCGGTCGGCACCCCTGAGTTCCTCAGAGGGGACTACAGGCAGAGTACCAACGGCTATGAGCTCAGACTCCCCACCCCCACTGCAGACGCCCAGGCTGGAATGCTCCACCGCTCAGGGGTGGGCTAGGTCAAGACTAGAAACCTGACACCATCCTGCCCAGCCTTGGGGCCGCAGCCAGCCTGCTGTTGCTGCTGGAGGGGCTCAGGCCTGGCCTACACTCCATTTTCTCCACCCCACCCCACCCCACCCCCAAGTTCCCTACCTTTAGAAGCCTGCAAACCAGGCATTTCTTTGCCTGCCCCCCCACGTGACTTCCTAAAAATGCAATTAATTGCCAATGGATAAAAACCAGATTTGCCAGAAACCCAACTGCAAGTTGGCTCCTCTTGGAAAATCATATGGTCTGGTCTGCTAGGGCCCCAGGCCCACAGCGGCCTGCCTCAGGCAGTTGCCC